GGGGGGGGGGGGGTTGGGGTTTAGGGGTGCGCCCTAAACTAAACCCCTAAGCCCGAAACCCCTAAACTCTAAACCCTAAACCCCTTAGCCCGAAACCCCTAAACCCTAAACCCTAGGGTTTAGGGTTTAGGGGTGTAGAGTGTGGCAATATGAAGATATCAGCCGCAGCCCAAAGGACGTGACGTGATACACGATGACGGTTTTGCTTCCCAAGCCCGATGCCTTGAGTCCCAAGCCTGACACCGTGACACCGCAATCCCAAAAACCTCAGCCCCAAACTCCGGGTTTAGGGTTTAGGAGCCCAAACGCCTGAACCCCCTAGATTCTACGTCCCTCTAGCCTTCAGCCCCCCAAAACCACACTAAACCTGAGCCCCTAAGCCCCACAAGAAATAGGCACCCTAATGCTGCGTAACCCCTCTGGTAACCTTCAGTTTTACAAGCCTTAAACCCTAAACCCTCAACCCTCTACACCGCTAAACCCCCCCTAAACCCTTGAACCCGAACCCCTGAACCCTGCCAGGTCTGCGACACCCGAGACCGCACGACGACTCAGAAACTTTCCGAGCTGCTATCTGCTATCGACACAGAGGCCTCGGGTCCGAATAGAGGGACCTTGAAAAGCGATTAGGACATGGTTTTTGGGATGTGCTAGCTATATTGAACTATATTAGGGACTATAAGGGGGGATAGTCTTACCAAGCGGCATAAGTAGACTCACATCTAGGAGTTGTTTTGTCAGCAATTTTTGAAAGGACTGTTGTGAGGTTTTAATAGCGGTGGATGGGGGGTGTAGGGCTTCACGGCTACAGGTAGTTGGGAGTTAAAGGTAAGTAGAACGATGGTCACCTTTACGGTCCTATGGATATCTACCCTTGAACCTGCACGTGAACTCCAAACTCCACACCGACTCAGAATCCCAGCCCTAAACCCTAAACCCTAAACCCTAAAAAAAAAAACCCTAAACCCTAAACCCTAAATCCCAGACCCGAAGCCCCGAAAGCAGAATCCCCAAGCCGAAGCCAGAAGCCCAGTCGCGGAGGGCAGATTTCGTTGTCATCTAAAGGTCGCAGAATTGGTACTGGGATCGCCTTGTAGTCCCTTTACATGTAGTTTATTTAGGGTTTAGGGTTTAGGGTTTCAACAAACCCCGAAATTTGGTCGTGGTGGGATTCACTGTGCACTACTCTTGAGGATTGAGGCTATTGGGTTTCCAATTTTTGGGGTTCTACTTTACATGTACAGAACTGCATGTATATACCCACAATAGACCTTCAAAAGCCTACTCTACTATTCCCGGCTGTAGCAGGTTTTGAAGAGCCTCCGTATGCTCCAAAGTAAGCATTGAAGATCTGACGGTTCAGGGTTTAGGGTTCCGAAACCCTAAACCCTAAACCCTAACACTAAACCTCAAGCCCCGAACCCTAAACCCTAAACCCTAAACCTTAAGCCCTAAACCCTAAACCCTAAACCGTAAGGGGTCTTTGAGTTGGGGTCGTTCGGTTCGGGCCTTGGGGGCCTTTGAGGGAGGTGCTTGCAGGATCACGGGGCTTAGGGTTTAGGGTTTAGGGTTTTTTTAGGGTTTAGGGTTAAGGGGTGGGTTCTACTCATAGTTGTAAGTATGGCAACCACACTTAGTGTACTGATTACCCTACTACTACGCCTCCTGCGCCTTTGAGTAGTGTGATGGCTTTCGGGTGTAGTGTGGGGCTTTCCCGAAACTCGAAAGCCATAAACCCGGAGCCAAGTTCCAGAGACGGATGCAATGCTGTTGGTGAGCTTCCTGGTCCCGTCTGTAATTGGGGTGGGTGAGACCATCCCTGACCACCACGAAGTGAACGACTGCAAACCGCAGGAAAAGTTTACACCATCTCGTTTCTCAAATTCAACCTAGACCCTAAACCCTAAACCCTAAACCCTGAACCCTAAACCCTAAACCTAAAACCCTAAACTCATGGGGGTTGCCGAGGTACATGTTTACAAAGACCCGAAGCCCCTTAGCCCGGGCCTTTACTGCAGCCTTGAAGGTGCAATGGGTTGTTACAAGTATGGCTGGTATGCCTAGGTACGAGTTGTCACAAGCGCAGGCGTATGTGCTAGCAGTTACAGTTGTGTCTGTCCAGCAGGAAGTACTCCATTCCCTAAACTTTCCCAAACCCTAGACCCTAAACTTTCCTAAACCCTAAACCCTACACCCTAAACCCTGAACCCTAAACCCTAAACCCTAAACCCTGAACCCCCAAAGCCCACCCCGGAGGTCAAGGAGCGGGCTGCAGCAGACGATGAGGTTCTGCGTAAGCAGGGCTCGGCCAAGGAGGTGGGATGGCTGAGCTGTTGGTGTGGGGGATGCAGGGGTTAGGGGTTTGGGGTTTGGGGTTTAGGGTTTAGGGTTTAGGGTTTAGGGTCTAGGGTTTAGGGTCTAGGGTTTAGGGTTGAGGGTTTGGGGTTGAGGGTTGAGGGTTCATGGTTCATGGTTCATGGTTTAGCCCAGGCCTTTGGGTTTGGGGGGCTTACTACTTTCGGAAGTGCTCCTGTCTGTCTTTGTCGCCGTCCATCTAAACCCCTTGCGACGACGCCAAGCAACTCCGACACCAGGATGATCATTATTGGTTCAGGCAGCAAGGGACGAAGTCAACCCGAAACAAAAACCCTAAACCCTAAACCCTAGACCCTAAACCCGAAGTGAAATAGACAGATGCGAGATTTCACACGAACTAGATTTGGCCGACTGAGCAACTAAACTATTGAATCTTTTTCGTGTCTGTGCCTGTATCTCTCTCTGTCTCTATGCGTCTCTCGCCTGTACTTCTTCCTCTGTACAACGTGTTTCCACGAAAGAGAGAGAGATATATGTATGTATGTATGTATGTATGTATGTATGTATGTATGTATGTATGTATGTATGTATGTATGTATATATACACATGTGTATATACATATATATATACACATGCACTTGCACATCCACATACACATGCACATACAAACACGCACACATACATGCATACATGCACACACATGCATACATTCATGCATACATTCATACATGCATACATGCATACATGCATACATACGTACATACATACATGCATACATACATGCATGCATGCATACATACATGCATACATACATGCCTACATACATACATGCATGCATGCACACTTGCATACATACGTATGCAGATGTATGGTTATACATATGTGTGGGTATACAGACATTCATGCAAAACATGTAGACAGGCAGTTTCTGTTGTTTAAAATGCCTGCGGTGAAGCGTAGGTCCTGCAGCACTTTCCTCACACCAGGCAAACACTTTAGCAGCTTCTGCTACGAAGTCACAAGTCTGCACGAACTTGACTTAGCAATTGTGGAAAGCCCTCAATTGAGTTAGACACCGCAACTACAAACCCGAAACCCGAAGCTCTGATCCCGAAATGCCCCCAAACTCCCCCGTTCCCCACCTGTATGCTGCAACCCCTGACCCCTAAAATATCATTCCCCAACCCTGCACGTAAAAAGCCTGCTGCCGTAGTGCCAAAACAGCACAAACCTCATAACCCTCAAATTACTTGTATTGAACCCTCAGAGTACCCTTGCCCCAAAAGTCGCGAACCCTACGCTCCTCAACTTGCCCAGGCACTTCCGGCCCTGATCGCAGCAGAGCGGCAACGGACCGATGCTGCCCTGGCCAAGCTTGAGGTGCTGCGGGGCCCGGGGATGGGTGGGTTGGGGTTTAGGGTTCACTACCGCTGCCATCACCGCCACAACAACACCAGCTAGTTACTACTGCTACGTCTTGCTGCTCCTGCTGCTCCTGCTACTACTCTCTTGCTAGCTACTCAGCCCTAAACCCTAATCCGAAAGCCTACTTCAGATTGAAAGTTGTTAAAGTGCCGTTGTTGGGCTCTTAGATATATCAACACAGGGTTACAATGCCCTACAATGTAAACCGATGCACCCTTTCGATAGCCCGACAGACCCAGAGACTTCCTTTGCCCCAAGCTCGAAACCTTACCTGGAGCCGAAGAGACCTACCTTTTTAAGGTTCCTTGTTGTGTGCTTTATATATATATATAGCTCCTTAAAGAGGTAGGTCTTTTGGGCCACAGGTAAGCCTTAAACCCTAAGCCCGAACCCCCGCACCCAAAGCCCGAAACCCTAAGCTCCACAGCTTGCAGGAAGCTCTCCGCCACGAAGATGTGGCTGAGAGGCCGCAAACATGTGCTACAGTGAGTATGAAGGACATGAAGCCCTTCTGATGAGCGTCAGAGGATTCTACATAGGGATCATGCAATCATTCCGGTAGGCTTCCCCTCATACCTATGGATGCAAGGAGGGCCAACATGCCTCAAGGGCTGAGCGAGATGCATTGCATTTGGAAAGTTGAAGTATCACGAGACCTATAAGGGAGTTTCCGAAAATAGCGGACCCTAATATAGTACCCTAAATAATAGGATCCTCATTATAAGGACCCCAAAAAGGTACCCCCTTATTTTCTGAAACTCCCATAAGGTCATAACTCTCATCTAGTTACGAAGTCCTCTGGAGCACGACCAGGGATGGTTATCTGGGGAGGGTATTGGGTTTCTCACCCTGTTAGGGCCCTTAGGTCAAGAGCGAGGCCTTATTATGGGGATCCAAAGTGGGACCCTGATTTAGACAACTAGCGATATTCGCCTTGGTCCTAACCCCGAAGCGGTCAACACGAATCAAGCCTTTTAAAGGCAAGCCTAAGGTAGGAAACGAGGCGCTTAAAACAAAAAAACCCCAAAACCACAAGCTCTAAGACTACCCTAAGCCCTAGGCCCTAGACCCTAAAGCCCTAAATCCCACGCGCTCCTCAAAACGTGCAGGCAGCAGAGGACGCAGGCGCTGGCGGGTTTGGAGTTGCGCTGGCAGCAGCTTCGTGAGGCTGTGCCGCTTCGGTTTAGGGTTTAGGGCTTAGGGTTTTAGGGCAGCCACAGGGACCGTGGTTTCACTGCGCTAGTCCTAGAAGGTTTTTTTGTTAAATTATGGGGTACTTTAGAATTTGAGGATTTGCATTTGTGAGTGTTTGTTGAGGGTTTGCAACGGTTTGTGTGACTTCGCATGGGCTTTAAAGGGGTTCTACAGGTTTTCTGAGGGTTTTGTAGGTTCTGTTTGGTGGGCTCAGCAGCTGATGTTTAGTTGGCAATAAAAAAGGGATCTGTAGATATGAGGCTGTTCTCTGTGGTGGCATCTTACAGCAAGCTCTTAGGGGTGAGCCCCATTTGGGAGGTGTTGGTAGTAAGTACAGAGGAGGGCTTTCTAAGTCAGGCTCTGGGAGTCGGAGTTCGATTCCGGGGTTTGGCCTTTGGGAGTAGCCTTTACCGCCGAAACCCTGCATGCCAGGCTTCAATCTCGAGCCGCAACCCTTCATGCGGTTGCCGAAAATTCGGATGCTTTGTTCCGGGGTCCTGAAAATACGGCTCCCTGCTAAAAAAACCATGCTTCAGGACGTACATGAGCTTTTCCTTAGTTTCTGAAACTCCTAAAGGCCAGTGGCACAAGCCAAGCCCGAACCTGAAGCCCTGAGCATTCGTCGACCAAAACGCGCACCTGCGCGCTCCGGAAATTCCTAAACAGGGTTTTAGGGTTTCGGGGGCTTAGTTAGCCCTATGCCCTAAGTCCAGTCTCCTCTGACCGCCCCTGCAACCCTTCCTCAGCTGACTCTCTCTTCCTAAGCGCAGATTCCAGACGGCGTGAAAAAGAAACAAGGCGGAACCCCTGAACATTACACCCTGAATGAGCCTGAGCTCCGTCGATACCCTAAACCCCAGACGCCTAACCCCAAACTCTTTATCAGCCCAAACCCTGAAAAAACCAAGCCCAAACCCGAAACCCTGAACCCCTCAAAATCCTCCAGAGGCGACAGAGGACGCCCTAAAACACCGCCGGAGCACCCGGGTGGGTTTAGAGTTAAGGCTTCTGCATGGGTGTATCACGATGTATTTGGGCCCATGGGCCTTTTCAGGGTGTTGGTTCGGTCTTTGAGGGCGTTCAGGTATCTTTTGCGAGAAGGCATGGAGTCCATACTAAACCCTAAACCCTAAACCCTAAACCCTAAACCCTAGACCCTAAACTCTAAACCCTAACCATCTCATGCACTTCAAGCCAGCAGCCTTCACCCTAAGCCCTAAACCCTAAACCCTAAACCCTACACCCTAAACCCTCAACCCTAAGCCCTAAACCCTCTTTACCCTGCCCCAAACCCTAAACCCTCAACCCTAAGCCCTAAACCCCAACTAACCCTCACATCGGCCATATGAAGCAGCCCCCCAAAGTTGCAGAAGAAAAGGGCGGAAGGGCCCGACCCCCTCTGGAACCAGCTTTCTTAAGACGAAGCTCGGAGCTCCAGCCCGAAGTGTTAGTCCCTTTTGGGTTTAGGGTTTAGGGTTTAGGTTTCAGGGGTTTAGGGTTCAGGGTTTAGGGTTTAGGTTTTAGGGTTTAGGGTTCAGGGTTCAGGGGTTTTGGGTTTAGGGTTTAGGGTTTAGGTTTCAGGGGTTTAGGGTTCAAGGTGTAGGGTTCAGGGTTTAGGCTTCAGGGTTCAGGGTTTAGTTTGGTCTAGCACCCCGAATCCCTGAGGCCGAAGAAGCGGTAGCTCGATGTCCTTCAGCAGGTGTCGCCGAGTCATACAGTCATAGCAACAAGAGTAGTTGTCGCCGCTGTCATCTCATCATCATCATCGTCGTCCTCGCCCTCGCCGTCGCCATCGTGTAAACCCTAAACCCTGAACAGCCCAAAGCCTTACGCTCTAAGTCTGAACCCTCGGCCCCACGCCCCACGCCCTCGACGCCTCAACCCTCAGCCCTCAGATTCGACAACCGTATAGGAACCCTAATGGACTTGTAGCAACCCTTATAGTGACGGTTTAGTTTTTAGGGTCCTTGCAGTAACGCATCTAGTATATGCCTTATAGCTACCACCCCCTAAACCTTGAACCCGAAGCCTCGAACCCCCACCCCTGAACCCTAAACCCCAACCCCTTAACCCTAAACCCAAACCCCTTAACCCTAAACCCTTAAAGCCCTAAAGCCTAAACCCCTAAACCCTAAACCCCCAAGCTGGAGACTCACCACCCTATAAGCCCAGAGCCCTAATCCGCAGGGCCAAGCTGATGATATAGGGGCCTAAACAAAAATTATCCATTGTTTCGCTAGGGTTCCTTATTATGTTTGTAGCATAATATACCGCACCCCTCCATTCTAAACATGAAGGCGGTATAGGGGCCTAAACAAAAATTACCATTTTTTTCGTTAGGGTTCCTGATTATATTTTTAGCATAATATACCGCACCCCTCCATTCTAAACATGAAGGCGGTTTAGGGGCCTAAACAAATTGCCAGTTTTTTTTCGTTAGGGTTCCTTATTATGTTTGTAGCATAATAGACCGCACCCCTCCATCCTAAACATGAAGGCGATATAGGGGCCTAAACGAATTACCAACATTATTCGTTAGGTTTCCTTTTTTGTAGCATAATACATTGGGGCCCGCACTTTTTTTTTTTCCTACCGTTGGCGGTCCCCGGCGG